GGGGGGGGGGGGGGGGGGGGGGGGGGAGGGGGCACATATAGCCATGTATCCCCGGGTTTTATGCCGAGGCGTCGGCGCTTTGGCGTCCAGTTCTCGCTGTTGCATCACCGCTGGCGCTGCTGGCGCTGTGGAGCTAGCTGTAGATACCGCCGAGAGACGGCAGACACCCCGCACACCACAGGGTTGTCTTGGCAATTTGTCTTGGCAATCTTCTCATGCATATACATGCCATACCCCCATGAACATCTAGGAGCAGCCGCTAGCCCGCCAGTCGCCTGTGTGGCCGATCGATCAAGTCAAACGTATCCAACCCTACAACACCAAGGCGACGAGTAGACTTGCGAGATTACGTTCCCTGTGCAGTGCTAGAAGCGGCAAGGGCAAGTTTTCGAGGTACGTGGTTCAATGAATGTTTGTCAACACTTGTGAAACCTCGTCAAGTTTGCAAGGCAGGTGGTTCAATGATTGTCAACACTTTCTTGTGAAACCTGGCAAATGACCTGTTCCCAATGAATTGGGTTGTTAGCTGAGCTGTTTGGCTTACTTTGAGCTTTGGTCGATAGTGTACTTCGTAGATAAATATAAGGTGCTACGCAAGCCAGGCTGCTTGGTTTCGTGTGTTCCTGTTGTCGCACGGCTGGGTGACGGGTGGGCCGGCATCGATGATGAGCAGATGCAGAACGGTTAACGAGAGCGGGGCATGTTTGCTATCCATCTAACCTCAAGGTAATAACTATTCGACTATTCATGGTGACTTTTCGAGTTTCTCCCCCGTCGGGCGGGGGGCGGGGGGGCTGTGTGTCCGGAAATGTTTTTGCGTGTACCCTTGCCCAACGTAATAACACTGTAGAAATGTGGACATGTGGGTGAAATGGCGTGGCCAGTGTCCCCTGTGGTGACTACACCCCGGTCTAAAAGGGGTACAAGGCATCATGAGGAACCATGAGGTCTCATAGCCACCATGATAATCATCTCATGATGGAATCTCATGGAGGCCCATGGGGTTGCTCATCATTGGGGCACCATGAGATCATTCCCATGTCATACCATTGCAGCCCATTATGGATGTGCCCTCTACTCTGTATGTGGAGGTCAGGATATGGAGATTCAGGGAGCACATATATATAGTCTACACGTACATAAAGAGTAGGATCTGAGGGAATAAGTGATAATAGATTACTGTTCTCCGAGGGTCCCCAATTCTTATGACCCCCAACGCTTCTAGATCGGGGGCAAGCGAACGCGGATTCACCCTCTGAATGTCTTGCTGGTGAGCGGCTCCCGGCATAAGCATGCCAAGGACCCATGCCGGCGGGGCCTTCTCCGCCTCCACTGCCTTTGACACCGCGCTGACGAGGACGGCCTCCAGCGGTCCGCCGCTTGCCAGGAGCGGTGAGCTCTGCTGACTAGCGGCGTCGGCGCGGTTCTGCAGGATGTCGTGCGCAAGGTCGTCGTCGACGTTGCCGTCATCGTCATCCTCAGGGGTTGGGTCGGTGTCGAGGTTGCCCGCCTCGGCGCCGTCGGTATGCTGCTGTTATTGTCGCTGTCGCGACACTCACCAACCAGTGCGTGAAAATATCCGCGATGGTGACCGCTCTGCGAGGGTGCTACGCTCGCAGACGCCCCGGCGGATTCTCCCGTTTGGGTAGGCTTCGGCTGTCCCTCTTGGGGCTTAGCCGAGCCATGGTTGGTGTTAGCAGTAGCGTCGGGAAGTGGCGTGGCTGGCGTTTTGGGTGTCGTCAGCTGCTTAGGCTTTTTCGGCTGTTGCTGCTGTTGATATGACCCTACGTCCTTTTTCTTCCCTTGCTTCCTTGGATTGCCCATGCTTCACACGTCGGTTTCAAGATGCAAAGATAGAACGTTTCGTCGAACGCCAATATGGATGCCCTCTACTCTGGGTGAGCGGAGAGTCCGGGGTTGTGGTGGCTATGTCCTGCCACCGGAGGTTGGCTATTTCCTTTGGTGCAATGTGGCGAGGAATGCCAAGCGTGACCGAGCGAACTCAGTCAAGCTAGGGTGGTGCGGAGAGTGGGCGAGCCTTCGTGGACTCCTTGTCCCATTTTCCTAAAGATCCATCAACTCTTCGCAGCCGTTGGGGGTCATAAGAGTTGGGGACCCTCGGAGAACAGTAATCCATTATCACTTGTTCCCTCAGATCCTCCTCTTTATGTACGTGTATCTGTGCTCCCTGAATCTCCATATCCTGACCTCCACACCATGGGAAATTTCATGGGACAATGGCAATGGTTGACCCCCGTGGTGCACATGAGGCGATATGAGCAAATTAATAGATGATAGTGAACAGAACAACACAGATTGTAAACAGAACAAAAGGAGGATATGGTACCCGATGGCGCCATGGGGCTTCATGGAAAATACTGAAAAACGCTAAAAAAACGAGGAAAATGACCTGAAGAAAACTGAACGAACGTCATGGGGCACCATGAACGCCCATGAGGTTCCCAAACCTCCCATGCTTCACCATGAGGACCCGTGGTGCACGATGGTGCATCATGAGAGTTGGGAAAATGGCTCTGAAGAAATAAGTTAAAATAAGTGCAACATGTCTCGAAAACCAATGATGAGCAATGTTGTCATGGTGTGCCCCATGTGAAAGCTCACGATCTTCTCACGAGACCCATCGTTTACTTTTATCACGCCGTGGGAAGCCCCATGAGATCTCATCATGGTGCCTATGAGACATCATGGTGCATCTTGAATTTGTCCGACGCTTTCCTGTTTCTTCGCGTTTGTCTTTTCTATTTCTCGTGCATCTCATGGTGCGTCATGATCATACTCCATGATTGCTCATGGTGCTCCATAAGAACATTTTCTCACGAACCCCTTGAGAAAATCTCGCGTGAGATAATCGTTTTCGCTGTATCTCATGGGATCACTTTGCATGGTGTCTGTTGAGGCACCATGAGATTCCTATCGGGTCGCATGGGGCACCACGATGCACCATGGTGAATGCACCATGAGCATCTCATGATGTGATCCACAAACAAATGTCAAACTCCCTATTTTTGGCGTTCGTGAATATTTTTCTGGGTCTGCGTTTATTTTCCTTTGTCGAAGTGTGTACCCTTTTCGGGGTCGTTGGTGTATGTCCACAGAAAGTGTCCGCGTCAGTTGAACCGGTACGAGCGCTAGAAGGTACTGAGTAGAGATCGGAGCACTTTGTAACGGCAGCAACAACGAAACAACAATAATAACCAAACACATCCAGTAAGAACAGTCACAAAAACTAACACACGGCTGTGCGGATCCAAGCCATAAAATTCTGTCGACAGACAAAGGGTAGGTGCTTCTAAACCTGTGTTCAATAGTTTTACGGTAACAATGAGACGATTTGCTTATGTCGCCACCTCCTGCTTCAAAGCTCTCGGGAGGGCCCTGAATGATTTAATCTACGCGTATGACGGGGACGATAATTCGAGTTTCAGGGCCTACTCTTGTTGCAGGCTCACTTGCCCGAGGCAAACTGAACACCCTTTCCCCTCCTCCCCTCAGTAAACAGCTGGATACCACGCAGGGCTCCATACTCATGCCAGCATGCCAGGTGGTGCCATCAACTGGTACTGGCCGACCTAGCGTTCAATAACAGAGCGCCGACCCTGGGAAGCCACAATAAGTTACGTTTTCTTGACCCACACTACAAAGCTACGGTTAGTAATTCAGAGGCCACAAGTACGTGTGGTGTCATCGCGTTATGCTGTCCGTAAGTTACAACAATCGCTGCAGCACTTGTTAGTCACTTCATTCTGTCCGCGGTAAACCACTCGCAGTACATCGATGGCCACAGCTACCTTTTGTGGTTGACACCCAATCGTCAACAAACATTTCTCAGGTACTTTCGAACCAGTTAATAAGTACGTCGGCACCGTTAAGAATGTGAAGACAACATCAACAACATCCACGACCACCACCACCAACATGCATTTAGGATACCCTATAAATCACCGACGATTGCTTCTTCTAACTGCGCCTTTAGTCCCAGTTCCCGCCGCCCCGTCGCTCCCCTCTTGAAGTATCTTGGCCACCATGGCGTTGCATACGTCCTCCACTTGCCCCGGTTGCCAAGGCTTATTGATGATATCGCTGCCGCCGACGTCCTGGAAGCGCTCCCGAGTAGCTTGTGTTGTGTCCGCGGTAAACCCACAAATAGGTACTCGACGAAAGTAGGACACGAGCGGTAGCACAGCAATGTCAGGGTTTGGAAGGATGGTAAGGGAGCAACAAGGGGAGTCAGAAGAGAGGGTAGCGAGGAGAACGTGTGGTGACTGCAGTGTTCAATACTAACTAGCTGATGTCCTTTTACGGGCTCGCCCTAGCTGAACACCAACACCAACTGAAACTTCATGCAAATGCACTGGTGCCTTTCCCAAACTGGTCCAATGCTGGCGACAGGGTAAGAGTTCTTCTGAGGCAGCAGACCGATCCGTCCCTAGTACATTAATTTGTAGACTAGCAGTACGGGCGAGCGCATCGGTGTGCGATCAACTTTTACAATAATTGTCTATAGGATTGCTCCGCAACAACCAACAGGGCGCACAGCCTGGCCGACCCGTTCAAGGAAACCCTTCAACGACGTCTTTCCAGAAACACGCTATTCAGCACTTTGGCATGATTTTGGTTGTGGAGCAATTGATCTTTGAATTTCGATCGCACATCTGTGCGTTTGCCGGGCCCCTTTACCCAAATGCCGACCAATGTGCCACACGGAAGGTTCGGCGATGGTTTGCAAGTGATACGGAAGACAGCATGCAAGCCATGCTTGTGGAACGGTCTCCAGCACCCGAACCGGGGAATAACGTTGCATCGCAAGTGATAATCGCACACACAAGGTTACGGCCAACAAGCTATAACAGTTGCAACATTTACGGAACTCACGGTAGCCATCCTCTCTCGACCTCGCTCTGCCTGATTTTCCTCGTGCACTCTATTCCGTCCATGTTCGGCATTTGCAAGTCCATCAACACCCCCGCCAGGACTATCGAGCCAGCGCTGCCATTGTTGTTGGTCTCGTCCCTTCGCGCCTCTTGAAATGCTTCGATCGCCGTCTTGCCGTCGGTGGCCAGTAGTACCTGCACCGCGGTCTGGCTGTGCTTGAACACCGCTCGCTGCAATCTTCTTCTCCATGACCTTGATGTTTATCTTCTGATCGTCCACCACAAACAACGCAATCTTCTTGTGGGGCCCGGTACCCTTGTCGCCGTTATCACCGCCTCCCTAGACGGAAGAAGGGTTGTTGGTGATCGCGGCCATCGCCTTTTGTCGTCTCTACCAAGTGTTCGGCGTTCGCTGATCCTACTTGACTCGTGGTCGTGCAAACGGTTCCTGGCTCCGCACCTTCTCCTTCTTCCTCTGGCGGAGGACAAAGCAGGGGTAGCGCGACGGCGAAAAGAGTGCCGCCCTGCTGCTGATTCCCCTCATCTGAGAACGTGGAGGCGATCCCCAGGCCCCCCCGAACATGGCTTCCACGTGGATTTTGCAGACGTTCAAGCCCATACCAATCCCCTGTTGCCCCTTGGAAACACTACGCGAGACCTGTCAGTACGCCATCACGAGCTGCGAGAGTTCCCCCTTCTGGATACCGACGCCGGTGTCCCTTACGCAGTACACATACCACTGATGCGCTGCCGAGAGGAACGCTTCTCCTGGTTCAGATCCCGGCAGTACCCTACCATGTGTTCAACGTCGTCGGTTACGGGGGACTCCCCAATCCAAACGTAGTCGTCGAAGCGGGCGGTTTGCTCTGCCCACCAATTCGCGGTGTCATGCGGCGAGACAAAAACGAAGAGGGAAACCTCCACCTTTTCTCCGCTGGGGGTAAACTTGATGGCGTTGGACATCAGGATCTGCACGATGTGTTTTATGCGGCGCTCATCTCCGACCGCCTCTTGCAGACAGGTGTTGCCGTCGTCGTTGTCTTTGGTGGGGGTACCGGCAGATAATGTACAAGATGTGATGGAGACTTCGGTCGCCAGGTCCACCCCCTTCTTAACGGCTAAATGATTCAATGCCGCAACCGTCAGTTCGATGGGTCTTGAGGTGACGAATCGGTGGCGAGTCACCGTGATGTTGGTCCGATCCTTTGCAATGTCGATCATGTTGTTTAGGGAGGGCAACAAGGATGCTCCGCACAGCACAGCCGAGTCGATGACTTCGTGCCGTTGTGCGACGTCCATATCGGCATGTTCTGCCTGCAGCATGTCGAGCGAGCCCATCACACCGTAGAAGGGCGTGCGGAGTTCGTGCGACAGGTGGGCGAAAACCTCTTGCAGGTCCACTGGGAGAGCCTCCGCGTACAGATGCGACGAAATCCCGTGGCGCACTATGCCCAGCAGATCCACAAGCAGTGGATGGTGACCACGGTTCAAACTCCGCCTCGGCCTTGTCCATGAACATTTCGAAGGACGCTCTCGGGTGGCTTACTTCCCGATTTAGGAGTGGGGTGTCGGGCTTCCGGCCCACTTGACGTGACGCGCGATAGCCCCACGCCAAAAAGCTACGAGGAAAGATTGCACCGATAAAAAATCGCCACACCCTTAGCCTCCAGTGATTTGAAAAGAACCGCGGCCTCCGCGCCAACGGCATTGATAAGGTCATCGCACTCGCCTCGGGAGAGAGATATCTCCTTGTTTCCGTGCACGGCCACGGGTCGCGAGGCTGTGTACAGGACGACGGCGTCTACTGCAAGGGTATCCAGGAGCGTCTCGGACTCTACCGTGAGGAAATCGTCGACCCTCCTATAATTGCTGATTGTTGCTGACGTGCGCGATACAGCCAGAGTGGCCGCTCTGATCTCGCTGGTGCTGCAGCGAGTTCAGCGAGGACATGACGGCAGCCACCGTCTCTACCGTGCTTCGCTCTTCGCATGATGGGGCCACCATCCGCGTATAACTATGAAAGGAGTAGATCCCCCACAGCTCGTCGTCTACATTGATGGCCACGACTAGCGATGATTTTACTCCCGTGTTCTTGAGATAGTCTAGTTGGCAAATGGAAGACGCTCGCAGTGCACTCATCGAAAGATCGAGGGCTGTCGAGATTCGCTCGTGGAGGAGGTCTATCAGCACGCCTGGGGCGGAAGTGTCGGCAATGAACCGCACGTCATTACTACTAAAGCCTGAGCATCTACCGCGTCACAGGAGGGATGTCCGATTCCGGGAAACGGAGACCCATCCATGTAGGAGGAAGTGACCCTCGACCCCGGTCGGATGGTCTCGTGGATTACCTCCCCGCTCTTGTCGGCTGCGAATCGTAACACCGATATCCTGTCGAAGGCGGGCATTATATCCATCAGAGCGTCACAGACCGCACCAGTCATCATCTGCGGCTTCGCCCCGCTGAGAACGCGCCCTAGCACGTCCCTCACCACCACCAGGAGTCCGGACTTGGGTTCTGCACTAAATACTTCTTGGCTGTGAGGCCCATGCCTCTTCTCCACTTCTAACGAGTACAACTGTAGGTTGCTGCCTGCCAGGGTGCAGGTCAGGACTTCCCCGTCGCCTTTGTGGCCATCACCCTTATCCTCGCTCTGCCGGTGCTTCGGAGGCATCTCGAGCTCCGCATGAATACTCGGAAATGACGAGCAAACTTCTGGGAAGTTCCTCCTGTTCGTGTTCGAGCGCACGATTTCCACGCAATCCTGGCGCTACAGGCACCCAAAATCTTTGCCGACAACAAGCTCCTTGATGGTGGAGATCGCTGGTTGGACCCACGACGTAGTTGCCACGTTCTCGCTGGCGCCTACGATACGGATGCCCGAAGGAAAGGCGTTGGTGGGCACCACTTCTTCCACGACGAAAAGGTGGCCGCAGCCTGGATCTCTCCGATCTCGTGAAGCGTTGGCATGTCCGCTTTGCACCTGCTGCTTTTCATGGTTGCATTTTTCATATGGTGTGGTTGAATCGCGGATACGCCAGCTCTCCGCGCGTTTGACACACCGTCGCACACCTGCAGGAATCTTTGCGTTGGTTCATACGAGTAATGGCGAACGGTCGATGATTGGATGTTACATTTTTGAGGCTTGACGTTTCCCCCTGTCGCTTCTGTCGCTGGTGCCCACCTCGTAGAAAAGTAAAGAAAAATATAAAAGGCTCCGTCTGTCGGTGTGTGTAACGACCGATCGGCCCTGGCCCTCAAATTCGTCAATTTCTTGCAGCCTTGGCCTCTCATACAGCCATCCACCCAAACCAGGGCCAAATCAATTAAAACCCAACCGACTGTCCAAAGCAGGCGGTCGGGTCCAGTCGGGACGATGGGATTTTGGGAAATGTATTTGATGGTTCGTGGGCTTCGAATTCTCATGGCCATATCCTGTTCTCCGATCTCCAATCTCCATGGCTCCCATGTAGACTACAGCAGAACCAGAACAAGCAAACACTGAAATTTTCAGCACTACCCTAGACTACTACTGGAAAAAAAAAAACGCACACCGCCGTAGGTCGCACGGTACAGCAGTTGAGGACAGCGGACAGCTGATAGGACAGTGCGAGGGGTAGGAGCTGCTCGGTAAAGGCTACCCATTAGAGTAGTTGCACAGCAGTCAGCTCACACAAGGTTCCACGCACGGGTTCGAATCCCGGCAGCACCGCCAAGGCCCGTCCCGGAGGTAACTTCTACTGCTGTCATGATCCAGCGGAAGGCAAGAGCCCGCCGACACATTTTTTTTTTTGGTATTCGACAAAGGCTACCCATTGACTAGAGTTGCACAGCAGTAGTCAGCGCTGCTGTGTAGTCTAATGGGTAGCCCCTTTCGAATGGGAGCAACAAGTTGTAAGCAACGTATCCACCCTCCCCACCCATGGAGGAGTAGTGGCATGATTCAATCCTGTTCGTTCTTCTTGTGCTTCAGGAGAGCTTTTCAAATTTCAACGGTCCTGGTGTCTTGGATCGGTGCCGAGAAAGGTGCTTCAGCAGCACAATACTGCTTGTAGCATCGTACTGCGGTACAAAAAGTGTGCTCAAACGAGGAATGATGGGATCGCATCAAATGAGCATATCCACCCAGGTTATTCCCATCACACGTTGACCCTAGCTGTAAAGACCTTTGAAAAAAAAACAACTGGGGTATCGTAGTGTAGTACAGCAGTGTGTGGAATGGAGTGAGACTCAGGACTACAATTCTGTACAGCAGTACATCCTCGTAGACACGAGGAGGATGCGAGACGGCTTCGAATCAATACTTCGCCGAGCTTCTAGCATTTTCAAAGTGCGCCTCACCACCTGCAAGGTCTTCCACATGCTCATTTCGAATGTAAGTGAGGAAGTGCTGCGCTCCTTACATCGTCGCAGAGCTGGATGGCGTTCGTAGGTTCAAACGCCTACCGAGGGAGGCTCTCGCCCCTACCACGGAGCATGTGGTCCCAATTTTACTCGCTCGAAGGAAGGGTTCACGACTGATGATTAGTCTTTCACGAATGACAGGGGCATAGAATACAACAGCACGTGGTTGGATTGACACGTTTCACCACCCCACCGCCACCACATTACCACCACAACTCGAACAGAGACACGGACAGCATAAACCAGCCCCACATTGGTAACAAATACTTGTACACGCCACACCCCGACACCGCCTCTCTCTCTCTCCCTACTCATTAGTTTCCTCTCTGCCACGCACAGCGACACACCGAGGCAATACCACCTACCCACCCTGCCCACATACCGAAAAGTATTCCAACATCATACCGGAAACACCCCTTCACAAAAGGCGTCGCTATGCTACCTCTTTCGACTGTTCGCACCAGACGGAGGTAACAGCATGCCAGATACCAACACAATACAGCTCCCCCAAACTCTGCGATAAAAAAACAAAAAAGAGGATGCAGTGTTTGCATGAAATGAAACGCTCCCGTCGTGCGTGTTCATGCATCAGGAACGTGACCGGTGTTGGGGGCGAAAGGTATTGGTAAGTCAGCCAATCATAAAGCTTGACTCATTCACCGACCGCATCCCTTCCGAGAGAGACGGAGTTTCTACGACTGGATGGTATATTCCGTCATATACGACGAGAGTGCTATCTTCCATCACATGCGGTGCCGCCGCCGTGCGGGGGCGTCGATGGCGTCGGGGGCCGTACGATCATCGCCGAGCCGACAAGGTTGTGGTCCGTGTCGTCTGGGAAGGTCACGTCGGCAGGTATCGCCCAGCGCGCTCGAGGGGTGGGCATCTGTCGGATGTCCATGAGCCTCTGTTGTCGCCGTAACCATGTTGTTGGGCGCCACATAACAGCGGGGGAAGGGGGGGCGGTAGAGGGCGCGTGGGGGGGAGGCGTAGTGACAGGGTACGAATGTACGTGCGTGCCTGCATGCACTTGTCGAAAGATGTGGGCAAGTCCTGTAGGCCAAATTCTCGTCTATACCGCGTAACCCCCAGAGATGAAGCGCTTTGACATGCTTTGTTGTTCGGCGAAGCCTGGCTGGCGCACTTTCCATTTGATCGACCTGTAGCGCGGTGGCTGCTAACCGTCCAAGAATCACGTACAGAGAGAGAGAGAGAGAGAGAGAGAGAGAGAGAGAGAGAGAGAGAGAGAGAGAGAGAGAGAGAG